GTATTTCTGTAGACTGTAGCGCAAAAACAGCTCTAAAAATTTTGATTAAACTTTCCTATAATGTTCTAATAATTGTCCTTTAAATTTTCATACTACATTTTCATACCTCCTTTTCATACCTGGACTAAATTCCCGAGAAAATTCAGAGGAAAAAGTTGTAAAGCAAAGAAAAATGTTTTAGGGCCTAACTCGCTAAGTATATATTCTATGGTAAAATTTATAATAAAATTTTTGAAAGATAATTAAATTATCAACAAAATAAAATAAAAATCATCGGAATCGAACCAGTATGAGCGATGATACAGCTTATTATATTTTCTACACATATTTTAATTTATTACTTTCCTACCAATACTAGGTAAGGAATTATTACGATCGGGTCAAATTTCGGATATGCGGTTGTCGACGGATCTATACGTTTCAGAGCCCCCAGAATCCGATAAATACATTTTAAGCATTGGTCTGTTTGTCTGTCTGTGTCAAGATTTTCTCGGCATCTATACGTTTCAGAGCACCCTGATTTCAAAAGAAATCACTTTGAACAACATTTAATATGAATGTTAATAAATGTATAATAAGTTAATAACGTAAAATGTAAACACATTTAATTAATAAAGTAGTTAGAACAAATAAATAGGTTTTATTTATTTCATATAACGTAAATAATTCATAACAGCGAAAATCTTCAGGTGTGAATATCTCCAAACGTGCGGACATACCTTCAGTGCAATTTTTTTCTTGTTTTGAGATCCTTAGTTCATTTTTGCAGTTTGGTCACTTAAACCTTAAACACCCTGCATAACAAGTAATACTTGTTATAATGAAATAAAATAATACTTTTTCAATAATTAAATATTAAATATTTTAAATAATACCATATTAAATTTGATAGCAATAAATATATGACTACATGAAAAATTATTGATATCAATCGATATTAAATCAATTAAATTAATCGATACTATTTCTCTCTAGAAGGAAGAATCTTCAGAAGAGTTGGTGTAAGTTGCACTCTTTGTTTGTACTTCCTATTGGAACCTTTCCAACCAGTCTTTTCTCCTTTGAAAAAAAAAGAAAAGAAAAAAATCGTATTGCTATTTTAAAGCTATCCGAAACACAAAACCTTATTTTTATATAAAATTGAGGTTAAATTGTCGATTTTTGTTAGTTGATCGTTAAAATTCGCAAAGGCCTATTTTAGCAGAGTATTTGGAGGGCGCACAAAAGGCCTCAATGAAGTTGCCAAGCACTTAAAAATAATTCTTAAATTGTACCATTTATTTTGATAGTTCAATTTATTTTTATTTATCGTGAATATGGTGTTAATGAACTATTTTAGCACTATTAACAATATCTTTAATTATGATAGAATGTAATAAAACATTATAAAGAAATAAAATTAAAAAGGAAGGAGATGGTCCAGGGAGGCGATCATAAATAGGCTAAATAGTAGTAAAACTATTTTATTAAAAGCCAACGTTTCGACCCGACTTTGTAGGTCTTCTTCAGGGCTAGAATGGACAAGATACAAAAAGATAGAGAATTGTAGAAGTTACATAATATTTAGACAAAAAATTATAAACAATGTGATAAATACTGAAGTAAATTCTGTAGAAGTATATTCACATTTGCATTTATTATATATTACACTACAAAAATTGTTAGCATCTATTTACTTCAGTTTAGGATCTTGTTACTTAGCTCACTCTGTTCATATTTTAATGTACTTACTGTTTATAATTGTAATAAGCTTTTTGACATTGTTTATAATTTTTTGTCTAAATATTATATAACTTCCACAATTCTCTATCTTCTTGTATCTTGTCCGTTCTAGCCCTGAAGAAGACCTACAAAGTTGGGTCGAAACGTTACCTTTTAATAAAATAGTTTTACCACTATTTAGCCTATTTATGACCGCCACCCCGGACCATCTCCTTCCTTTATAATGCAACGATCAACTACTAAATATTCAAGAAATAAAATTGTTTCTATTCTTTTACGTAAAATTGTATATCTATTTTCAGCAATAGAGGATTCAGCATTTAATATAAAAAGGGGAACTTTTTATTTATTTATTTTTTAATGAAAACAATTATTTTTCTATTTTGTGGACTCCAGTTCAAAAATCATCCCCTCTCTAGGGTTTTGCAATAGATATGTCTATTATCTACATATCACGGATTTTATTTCATAGTTCACGTCTCTCCTTTTCACATAATAAATACATAGATACTTTCGTAAATGTTATTAAAAAAATAATGCTGAAAAGAATATATCATATCTTTATAAAACTATTTTTAAAATAACTTCTACATACCCGAATTCAAATTGGTTTCGCGCATATTTTTCAATAAATTCAAACTTTAAAATGTTTTTTAATATGCGTTATTGATTTTTAATTCGTGTTTTTAAGTCCCGTGTTAGATTGGGTAAAATAAGATTTTATTTTAGTCACTTTGATAATAGAGATCGAAGAACTACGAAACTATAATAAGACGTAATACATATTTAGGTTAGACTTGTAAAATACTTTGTTTGAAAATATTCAAAATGAACGAATTCAATCATATGTTATTATGGACTTTAAATTAGATTTACTCAGTATGATTTATAATATTTCAGAGGTAATTCCGAAATTCGAAAAATTAGTTAACATTTTATTTCCAAATTTCAAGTTTTGAGGCAATTATCCAGCATGAAAATTTATTTAATGTAAGTTCTGATCAGACATTTTGGTTACATTAGATATTATTATTTATAAATTATGTTTTTTTAATTATTTTTTTCTTATCGGCAAATAATTTATATTAAGGCATGAAACAAGTTATAGCCATATGTAGTAATATGTATCTGTAAGTGTAAAAAATGGATTATGAATGATCAAACAATTTGGAATTTTTTTCGCTCGTATAATATAGCGCAGATTTTTTTTTTTGTTCATAACGAAGTTAGAAACTCATTAGACGACCATGTAAAATATATAATCATATGGCGCCGTTATTCAAGTGGTATACTGGTACTGTTTTTAAACAAAAGTTAATTATGTATTGAACATATGACCATCAAAGCATACATAACTTTAGCTGTATCTTGACCGTATATTAAAGACCGACCCCCTCCCCCTCCTACACTATTCTATTCCCCCACTCTTCCTTAGCTCGTCCATCAATAACTGGTCAAGTCATTGACTCATCTTGATTAACTGATGTTTTGTGGCAGATATATCTGTGATGAAATAAAAGGCAATCAATCTATAATTTATTATAGACCACATTTAGAATTTTGAAAAAAAAAAAAATCGTTGATCTAACGTAAAAGTTTAAACCCACTATACTTAGAAGGCTGAGAATCATTTAATTTTTCAGGTAGAAATTACAATTTCACCTAAATCTGAACTGTATCAGGTTGGAGTGTAAATCCAACATGCTCCAACACTTCAAATTAATACATAATATTTCGATCATTGCTATAATATTTCGATTGTATGTTTGAATTCTGACATGACATTTTGACTCTATTATAATCCATTAAAATAAATAAGCAATGTAAAAATAATTAGAACGGAAAACTGCTTTGTTATTTAAAAAGTTAGTTAATAATAAAAACCAGAAATTCTTAGTAGTCCACGAAAAAAAAAAATGATACTAGCTGGGATATTTCCATATTTGAGCACTTTTATAAAATCCATATATGTATTTATGGATATATATGTATTTATCATTTAATATTCGTATATTCGGGATGTACCCAGTTTTTATGTAATCTATTTTTATTTTACTGTTTTTCTTTGTTTCCTACCTCACCTTTTCGGTTATTTTCGGGTTTTTATCGTGTCTGTGTAGAATGCGGGGGATTAATAAAAACAGTGTATTCTAAAGTAGAATTTAAAAAAGCATAGACCGTAATTATTACACTTTCAGTGTTCTGTTCCTCCCTTTCCCCTTGTCCTCTGGTTTGAACTTTTCGTTCCGAAAATTCATATCCCCCCGTCGAAATGTGCCCCCCTCAAAAATACAAAACCCCATGTGCCACGAAACCCCCTTCTGGGCACTGCTAACTGTCATTATATTTGTTGGTTTGGCCTTAAAAACAGTAAACATGATAACAGTATCGTTTTTTAACAGCAGCTATTATAACAGGTGTTATAACAGGGGGGGGGATTAATTCCCAAGTTCAAATCCTCGGGACTCGAACTCGTAATCTTCAGCTTATCAGATTGTCGGACATTCCAAAACCCCAGGTAATCTATTTGTGGAGGTTTAATTTAGATTAGCTGTTATAATAGCTGCTGTTAAAAAAACGATACTGTTATCATGTTTACCGTTACCAAGACCAAATCAACAAATATAATGACAGGCAGCAGTGTCCAGAAGGGCGTTTCATGGCACATTTTGACGGAGTTTTGTATATTTGAGGGGGGCCCATTTCGATGGAATTATGAATTTTCGAAATGAAAAGTTTGAACCAAGGGACAAGGAGAAAAAGGTGAAGAGAACACTGAAAGTGTAATAATTTATGGACTATGCTTTTTTGAATTATACTTTAGTTTGCACTGTTTTTAAGAACAGGAGAGCAAGAAAATACCAAGGAAGAAGAAGGGAGGAGGTTTTTGCGCCATCGACCTTGGAGGGGGGGATGGCCGTCCCTGATGACAGCAATACTGCAAATGTCTGTAAGAACGATTTGATTAAAATCTTGACCTAGCTTATAATAAGTCTTTTTTTTTTTTTTTTTGGCTTTAAGACTTGTAAAAACAAGTCCTATTTTGTCCCGTATAGCCTTAACGGCGAGGAAGGGAGGACAAAAAAAAAACGGTTATAAGAACCAAAAGTTTTCTTTAAAACATTAAACCTACGTCATAAGAAAGTTTTTATTTTTTGATTCATTTCTGAAGACATAGCTTTTTACATTTTCAGACTGTTTCAAAGTGACTGTCGATGAGATATAATTTTACCATATATGATTTGATAACATTTAAATTGAATACTCTTTTGTTACAGGAGAATAACTAAAGCAGAAGCATGTGCTCCCGAGGGCTCCACACCCTGATCGACCAGGAGAGCAAGGACCAAGACGTGGAGGGCAGCCCGGTGAGCGAGATCCTCGCTTCGATCCCTGTCTTCGACAAGGGAGGCGGTGGGGATACAGAGCTTCCCAATGAGATATCCGCTCCTTATGAGTTCCCGCAGTTCCCGATCGAGCAAATCGAAAACAAGTTAGCGAAGCAGAGGATCTTGAGAACTAAGGCTGCTCTAGAACGCGGTACTCTACTTGAGCAGGGATCATCTGATGAGGTTGACATCTTCTCCGATGGAGGTCGGAAGAACGGTTATCATTTCAGTGCTTACCAGAGAGTGTCCATAAGCGGAGAAGACATTTCAGGAGTGTCTATAGAAGACAGAAAGATGGCATCTGCAAAGCTGATCGAAGCCCTTCATACCAGATACAAGTACATGAAAATGTCACGGCAGTCGTTTCCCGCGCTCACTGCGAAATTCCTTCTCAATTCCAAATTAGAAAATGTGGAAAATTTGAAAGAAGCAGATCACGGGATAGCGGACCATTGTGTCCACGCTCCTTCCAACGGGAACCCTTGGGATTGCGACTTTCCACCCTCGACTAATTACATCATAAAACCAGTCGATGGCGTTTTCCAAGTGTACAAGAACAAAGAGAAAGCGGACCTGGATGAACCTCTCGACTACCCATATCCACGCTACCTCGAGTTCGTCGCCGAACTGAACAAGCTCTGCTCCACAATGGTCGATGGCCCTCTGAAATCCTTTTGCTATCGGCGACTCACGTATCTTTCTTCAAAGTATCAACTCCACCTCCTCCTCAACGAACTGAGAGAACTGGCAGCTCAGAAGGGAGTTCCTCACAGGGATTTTTACAACATTCGTAAAGTCGATACTCACATCCACGCCGCTTCTTGCATGAATCAGAAGCATTTGCTCAGGTTTATCAAGAAAACATTGAAGAATCATAAAGACGAAGTAGTGACCAAGGGCGAAAAGGGTGCTATGACTCTGGAAGAAGTTTTCCAATCCATGAATCTCACGTCATATGATTTGACAGTTGACATGCTTGATGTGCACGCTGATAGAAACACGTTCCACAGGTTTGATAAATTCAACGCCAAGTATAACCCAATAGGAGAAAGTAGACTGCGAGAAGTTTTTCTGAAGACTGACAATTATTTAAATGGTAAATATTTTGCTAGAATAATAAAAGAGGTATCTTTCGATTTAGAAGAGAGTAAATATCAAAATTCTGAACTGAGGCTTTCAATATACGGTAAGAACGCAGATGAGTGGGACAAACTGGCGAACTGGGCAATAGACAATGATGTCTACAGCGACAATGTGCGCTGGCTCATTCAGATCCCGAGACTGTTCGATATATTCAAGTCTAATAATTTGATGAATAATTTCCAAGAGTTCTTGACAAACATATTTCTTCCCCTTTTTGAAGTGACGAATGACCCAAGCAGCCATCCGAACCTCCACAGGTTCTTGCAGTACGTCATCGGCTTCGACTCCGTTGACGATGAAAGCAAACCCGAAAACCCGATGATCGACAAAGACACCCTGAGACCTGAGGAGTGGACGCAAATAGATAACCCGCCGTACGCCTACTACCAGTATTACATGTTCGCCAACATGGCCGTGTTGAACCATTTCAGAGAAGAGAAGGGAATGAACACGTTCGTGCTGAGGCCTCACTGCGGAGAGGCTGGTCCGGTGCAGCACCTGGTCTGCGGGTTCATGATGGCGGAGAACATATCCCATGGCCTGCTCTTGAGAAAGGTACCTGTGCTGCAGTACCTCTATTATTTGGCCAGGATAGGAATCGCCATGTCTCCGCTCAGCAACAATTCCTTATTCCTCAATTACCACAGGTAACTAAAAATCATTTTATCTATTATTTAGCGTCAGTATTTCTTTGTTCTTTAGGGGTACATCCTTTATAGCTGCAGATCATAGAATAGAATAGAAAATAATTTTATTCTGGGACGAAGTCCCTTCAGAATAACAAAAAATTACAAAATTAAAATGTTATATCTGGCCGAATAAAAACAAACATAAAAAGTAAAGGTAAAGCTAAATCAGTAAAATATTAGTTTTACATACTATATACAAAATTAAATAAAATCTATATACAAAACTCTTGAAACCTTGCCACGACACTTATAACTACGTACAATTGTAAAATATAAATATACACTTTTAGAAAAAATAAAAAAAGTCGAATCTGCTAATAAGTATTTCAGTTATGAGCTATATGTAAATACATTATTATGAATAATGGGTAATTTTACATAAAAGGTTAGCGGGTATGTGACTGTTTTGGGAACAGGAATTGGAATAGGAGGGTTTTGAATGTAGATAGGGATGAAGGAATGCCGAATTTTGATAGGAAGGGAATTCCAAAATTTAACAGAGCGAGCTATGAAGGAGTTTTGGAACGAGGCTGATCTGTGAGAAGGAATGTAAAGGTTGGAAGGTCGAGATCTTGTGGAAAGGGAGTGGGCTGAGGACTGGAAGGTTGTATTTGGAGAAGGTTGTAGGCGTAAGAAGGACGATGATTGTTGATGATATGATAGAGGAATGTACCTAGGAAATATTGTCTTCAAATGGAGAGGAAGAGCCAATCTAACTCATTGTAGTGGTGAGAGACATGGTAGTATCTCGGGGCACCAATTACAAATCTCACGCAACTGTTCATTAATCTTTTCATTCTGTCACGGAGCTCCACCGAGAGTCCTAGATTATAGACTAGACTCTTGGAATGTACTCTTCCAAGATTATAATAACCTTGATGATTGGGCAGTGGTAAGCTACTGAGCTTCCAATGCTAAAGGTTCGAACCCTCCGCCTCATGGCAGAAGAATTATTTATTCTGATTGTTAGCCGTGAGGCGACCCTAGGAGTAGACCCTCCTGAGGCACACCCAGCCTCGATAGAGTGGGTACCTTATTTAAAATAAATGATTATGGGGCAAATGAGCGCGATCTTGGACACCGTAGACCAAGAAACTGTGCTTTCCCTAAATAGTACTGAACCCAAGACCCTTCAAGGGTTGTAGTGGTACAGGTTAAGTTTAATGATTATGTACTGCATGATATTTTTATAACTTTTTGAAACACGAATCCAATATAATATTAAATTCATATTACAATTTATATTAAAATCTTTTAAGATCAATAAATTATTATTTATTTTAAAACAAATGTTATAAATTAAATATTTTCAGTAAATATAAGAAAAATCTTTATGATTTATAATTAAATTGTTACTATTTAAAATGTTTATTTGTTTTGATAGAAATCCATTGCCAGAATACCTTGCTCGTGGACTATGCGTATCACTGAGTACTGACGATCCACTCCAGTTTCACTTCACTAAGGAACCTCTGATGGAAGAGTACAGCATCGCCGCCCAGGTATGGAAGCTAAGCTCATGCGACATGTGTGAGCTTGCTCGGAACAGCGTGATCATGAGTGGCTTCCCGCATAGAACCAAGCAGTACTGGCTCGGGCCAAACTATCACAAAGATGGCATAGAAGGCAATGACATAACAAGATCCAATGTCCCAGATATAAGAATCGCTTTCAGAAGCGAGACTATGATCGACGAGCTGACTAACATCTTCAGGCTCGGGGATGAGACGGAAACAGCTGCAATATAAATTGATTACTACTTGTTCAAGAGATGGGTTGAATGATTCTGTTTTCATGACATGGAAATTAGGACCCTATGGAATCTATTTTAAACCCTCATTCTCCTCTGTGCAGTTCATCCATGTTTGATAAAACACCACCCCATAAGAATTTCTATTGTAATAAGAAACTATGTAATTTATTTTTATATAGTGAATGATGTCTTAATAATTTCTAATTAGATTTGTATTTTATTTTTATGTTATATTTCTTATGATATTATTCTGCTCCATTTTTTAAATTTAATTTAAATGCTTCGATATATTATTTCTTCCTAATATACACGTGTCACTCATGAAATACTTATTGGGAAGGTGTACTGTGATATATATTTCATCTCTGTCTTTAGCATTTAATGTTTTATTATGAATGGGTACTTAGAAAAATTTTGTTTCATCTTTCCTGTGGGCTAAATAGCTGACACATAAATGGGTTTTATGAATGACAGGGTTGATACAGGGTTTTTATAAATGAAATTTTTGTTTTTAGCTCTTTCGATAATTGTAGAAGAAACATATTCAGAAGCCATAAATTACAATTTATATATTTATATAGAAATTCATAAATCGAATTGATCTTGGTAATTACCAAGATAGACAAAATAAGTTTTAATTTTCTGTTACGTTAGACCATAAAGCTATTAAAAATATGAAGGGTCTATGTTGAAAGAAATAGAAATGGAGTGGGTCAAGAAAAATGTATTCATATATAATTTTTCAATTTCAAAAATTGGGTGTTTGTTGGATGGTTCAACTTTATTAATATTGAAAAACAAAATTGGCGCATAAAGCTAGTTGATCTTCCAAAAATATTGAACCTAGGTTTCAGTAATAGGATTTGGTGTCATTAAGTTGTATCAATTGATGCATTTTACCCATCTCTAAAATATTAACATAAAAATTCCAATAGATACATACTATTGCTTTAGAAATATATTTAAACATATTAAATGTGATAATATTTTCTTAATATATGTTTTTTTTTTCTTTCTTGTTTTATTCATGCGTGTATTTTAATGTTTTAACAAATATAAATATTTTAGATAGATAAATATTTTTGATAGCGTGTGATATTGATGAACTGACAAGAAAAATATTTAATTATTTTATGATCTTATTTGAGTTATTAGACCTTAATTTCGAACACATTTTAGGAAAAAAAACATTTATAAAGAAAAAAAAAAGGAAAAGAAATGAGTAAACTGAAAACAGTTTAAAGTTTAATTTAATTTTATCATGTATCAATAATACAATGATATATTGTTATATTCATGATATATTGTTATATCAAATAAAAAGTTATATAGATTTATAAAGCATTATAATACATGTATGAAAGGCCAATTAGTTAAGTGACCAAATAAGTGGACGACTTTTCTTTGTAATGTAGTCTAGTTACTTTTTTACCTATTTTTTTGATTATGTAACTAAATATATGTTTAAATAAAAGATGCGCATATGGTATAATGTTTACATTAGCCTAAAAAACATCCCTTCCCCTTCCTTCTAATGCTAATCCACCAAGATATATAAATATCATTAAGTGTAATATAACTTACATCTTGAATTTTGGTAAAAGTTTTGGAAATACAAAAATTACTATTATAATTTTTTTTAATTTATAAATATTTTTACAGTAAAATTATTTTTTTCAAATATATAAGACTTTGAGAAAATAAGACAAACGGCTAATTTTAAGTACTTTTAAATGTGAACTTAACAACTTCGATCATTATTTGTTCAAACAGCTGAAGGATCTTCTCTAATTCTTTAAGTGACATAGGAACTTGACCATACTCAAAATTAAAATTTATTATGAAACTATTAAATAAAAAATTAACATAAATAAAATAATTTTTCATAATACACTATATATCCAGTAATATATACTTATATATATATATCCAGTATATATATACTTCTTTATATATCCAGTATTGACATTTATTTATTCACACACCATCAAATAGGAAAATATGCAACTAGCTTTGATGAGTCGAGTTTGAGTATCTAGGCTATTTCATAATTTTTGACATCTATTCATTAATACATTAATTCATTTAGAAGCAACTTTAGGATAGTTATTCAACAGCATAGCACAAATATCTAAGATGAATCACTAAGTATTCCTAATATATACTGTTGTCTGAAAAAAGGTAAGTAATTTTATTTATTTATTTTTAAGTATTTTAATTTTCACTTTAATAGATATATTATTAGCACCTCATTATTTTTTAATCAGGTATCAGCCACTAAGGACCACGTGAATATCATTGGTTAGGCTTCTTTGAGAGTCTTGATTTTCTTTCTTCCCATTGCAGTTTCATGATTTTCGACTGCCTTTCTTTTCTTTCTTCGGACCACTTTGTACCCCTCCTTTTTTCTCTTCCAATACTGGTGAGATTTTTCAATGTTTTTCTGTATGTGTCTCCTGAAATTTTAAGGTTCTTTAATTCTTCTCTTATTTGCTTCGAGTATCCTCCCATGCTTTTGTAGCTAAAAATTTTGTTAAAGATCTTTCTTCCTTCATCCTTTCCATGTGCCCATAGAACATCAGCCTTATAATTCTTATCTCTGTTTTCAGGTTTTTGATTTTTCTATAGATCTCTTCGTTAGATCTTCGCCTGTAACCTTTTTGTGTTTTCCTCGGCCCATATATTTTTCTTAACATCCTCCTTTCTATTCTTAGCAGCTTTTCTAACTTGGGCAGGCATGTGTATATACAATCACAGGCTTTATCACAACTTTGTAATGCCTTAACTTTTTATTGGAGGAGAGGTTTTTTTTTTATTGTAAATTTTGCCTGTTTGAAAGCTTAAATTCTCTAATTCTTTATTATTTAAAAAGAACAAAATTATCAATAACTAGAAAAGCCTATCAAATTATATCTATATCTTATTACTATTAAATGAATTTAGGTAAATCTCCTTAAATAACTTATTACAAATATTTTAAAAACTCTTGTTTCTTATCGAGTAAATCCTGAATGATATATGATATTTGGCACCTCAGACAATTATGCCATATGTGGCCACATCTCTCTCCCCAGAAAAATAAAAATATAATTTATAAGGAGAAATAAATAATTTTTTATGACACAACGCTCGACTAAGTTGTGTATGCCTTACACTAAAGCATTTATATCTCTAGTTATATCTCTAGCATTTATATAAGCATGGTAATAAATGATTATCATAATCGAAAAGCAGTTATACATATGACTTTTTTGCGTACCATAAAATTTTTATGAAGGTTGTAAATTCCTATATATTCATACATATTGTTTTTATAATAGAAGAGCTTTCATTTTGCCAGAAATTTGATCAATATGTAATGTAATATATTCTTTCTTATGAAAACTATAGTTGAAATTTTAGTAAAGAGTATCTTTACATAACAAATAAACTTAGTATAAGATACTTTCCTTCAATTATTGGAACAAGAAAACGTTTAAAAAAATGGTATAACAAAGACTATCCATACTCTTTGTCTAACTTTTAGGTAGAGAAAGCTTCTAAATATGCAATGTAATATAAATCCAGATCAAAATATTTTTATAGAAAGAGATATTGAGTTATTCGTCGGCAGAGACATCCCATTCATGTAGAAGAGAAACTAGCTGGCAGCCTGCCATAGATTCACTGACTAAATGAGTCAAATTTATATGGACAGAAATATTTTGGGCCGAGGAAGTAACTTTTTAAGAGAACTTTTTGTGATTTTTTAACATTGAAAAAAAAATAATCACTCACAAAATTCATCATAAGTCTAGATGGAAGTTTAAGTAATCATATTGTAATAAATTACTTCAGACATCCAGTACATGATATGATTCTCAGAATCAATAAAACGTTAAGGACAATAAGGATTAGACTAATAATAAATAGATTTTTTTTTTATTTGAATAAAAACCAGATAATGTTTGGTGTATAGTGCCAAACCAAATATAAAAATAACCACAGACCACTATCTATAAAAAAAGATATTCAATATCTAAGACCACCAACGATTTTCCTGAATAGATCAGATAAAACATTTACTAATATTTTGATGTTTGGAATGTAATTTTAACAAAAATTGTAAGAGTGAGGTTGAAATTGGTGTATGAAATAATTACTATATATACCACAATTACCATATAATAAATATATACCAATAATTCCTATATACTACATGCTTTTGTGGCTATTTTTTTCATTCAAAGAAATGAATATCATTCAAATATTAGATCATTAGTATTAAGAACAGGGTAACATAGTAGGAGTGCCCAAAAGGGGTTGTATGGTCCAAATTATGCCATCAAAATATTTTGGTGTCACAGTTTAAGGGATTATAAATTTTTGAGTTGGTACATATTTATTATATATATACACACGGTGTTTCAGGGTTAAGTGGCCAAACTGCAAAAATGAACCAAGGACCTCAAAAATAGAAAAAACTTTCCTCTGAAGGTATGTCCGCAATGCTTTGTTCAGTAGATATTCACAACTAATGATTTTCATTGTTATCAATTATTTACATTATATGAAATAAATAAAACCTATTTATTTGTTCTAACTACTTTATTAATTAAATGTAAACATTAACATTCATATTAAATGTTGTTGAAAGTGAAGGTATGGCCTTTTTTTACGCCCACTACAACTGAAAAGGGAAATATGGCTTCAATTAGACGGTTGTCCTGCACATTATGGATAGGTCCATGACAATGGCTAATTGTTAATCATCCCAATCATTTGCCGTGCAGGACTAGCGGCTTGGTCTGCACGCACTACAGACCTGACTTCACGGGATTTTTTTGTTTGGGATGACATTAAACAAAAAGTTTATGTAAGTCCAATCAATGACCTTAATTCCTTACGGAGAAGGATAAAAAAAATGTTGAATCTTGTGAAACAATAACACATATCCAGCACCGTTCTGCCACTGCTGCTGTTGAAGAAAGATGCCGAGCCTGTCTTAATGCTCAAGGAAATCACTTTGAATAACATTTAATATGAATTTAATGTTTACGCTTAATTAATAAAGTAGTTGGAACAAATAAATAAGTTTTATTTGCTTAATATATCGTAAATAATTCTTAACAATGAAAATCTTTAGGAGTGAATATCTCCTAAACAAAGCTTTTGATGACATACCTTCATAGGATTTTTTTTTTTTTTTTTGAGGTCCTTAATTCATATAATCAGTTTTGCCACTTAATCCAGAAACACCCTGTATATAAGTATTTTAGAGAGAATATTTTTGTGAGATTTCAATTAAGACAATTTTCAAGTTAAAGAACAAAGAAAAAAAGTAAACCACAATTTTTATAATTTTCCTCTCATCTGCACTATTTTCAAGAAGCGGAGAGCAATTAATTTTCTTAGGAGAAGGCTTGCACCATCACCCTTGTGGAGGATGGGTACCCTTATAGCATAGTCAATATAGCTTTAATTGAGTTCTAATCCTCTTTGGTATACATAGGTTTAGAATTCGTTTTTTTAAGTAATTATTTTCTTTCATAAAATGAAATATTAACAACCATCTGACCGGTGTATTTTAATTTCTTAAAAATTATTTATTTATATTTGTTGCGATATAATTTGCTGCTGCCTCACCTTGTCCCACCTAGCTAAGCCTATAATAATTTCTCAGGTTAAGGACCATGATTGACAGGAGTGTTTATCAGTCCAATTGATCTTATATAAATACCTGATATCATGGTATAAATCAGGCGACTGCATTTGATAATAATGGAATGATAATAGTTTAGTGGATAATCATACTTCAGCATCTGCAATGTTTGATGAGGGAGTGGTTTAATTCATTAATTGCTATTTTAAAAAAATACGAATGATGTTTTTTTTCTCTTTCAAGGCCTGCTTTCAACACTCCTTTCTCTTTAGTAACCTGAGATATTCCTTGACATTATCCTTCCTACCATATTTAAGTTGTGATTAGCTTCCTGATTTATTCTGTTATTTGATGTTCAAACTGGTGTATTTAAGGGGAAAAGATGGATCAGCTGTTGCCCCTTCCAATGTGGACAAATATAAAAAGAAAATAGGTACAAATATAAACAACCTATCGATGAACAGTTATAATTTGGCTGTTAACATTTTTCAACTTTTTTAAAGAAACTGGTAACAAAATAAAGATTAATTAATTGTCCGTACATCAATAGTCCTCCCTTCTGTTTTGAGTTGGTTACACTGTTTTAATGAAGTATTCTGGGTATTGATATAGTTGTCTTATTCATTCCTTGTCATATCCATAGAAATCTTTCTTTCATAGTATTTGATCAGCGTTTTCTTCAATTCCCCTTGTTCTTCCGATGCCATACTCTGTGTATTAATCATCTAATATTTGTAATAAGTCTGTTTCAAAACATAATTTTTTTCTCTTCACTTTATCCCTGTTGCAATGTTTAATAAGTGTTTTTACTCATTTTTATTAACTATTAATTATATTTGGTAAATAATTAATTAAAAAATATTGTTTAGGTTCTAGAAGATTCCTTTTCTTTTTTCATTCTTTGACATTTCACAAATGTGTAGTAAATTGTAGAAAAAGTACACTAGCGTTCACTTTTAATATTAGATATATTTAATCCTTTATATTATTTCTAATAGATGTTTTTTTGTTGATACGCCATAACTTCGTCAATTCTTCATAAAATCCAATGATTGACCACTCATTTTGAAAATATTCTTCTCCTTCACATGCGAAAAATAGTCCTATCCCCCCAAATTTTGCAGAAAAAGTTATGAAGGAAAAGAAACTTTATTCGCGAATAACTCAAAATGTACTCATGACTATTAGAAAGATTACTAAATTAGAAATAGATAGAAAAAAAAACTTTATTCTGGGACTAAGTCCCTTCAGAATAACAATAATGTA